GACAAAACTCAAACGACGCCATTGCATCCCCAGTCGGACGGCATGGTAGAGAGGTTCAATCGAACCATCCTTAATAACCTCTCATTAGTGGTTTCCAGAAACCAGCAGGACTGGGACAAGAAATTACCACTCTTTTTACTGGCTTACCGCAGTGCTGTCCACGAGACTACCGGCTATTCTCCATCACAGATGCTCTTCGGTCGTGACCTTCGTCTGCCTTGTGATCTATTGTTTGGCCGCCCTCCGGATGCTCCTTCATCGTCTGAGGAATATATTCAAGATCTCCAGGCCCGGTTTGAAGTGATGCACAACTTTGCACGAGAGAGAGTCAAATTGGCGACGGAGAAGATTAAGACCCGACTACAAGAGCTACTGAACATCAATTCCACGAAGGAGACAAGGTGTGGTTGTGGAATCCGACTCGACGGAAAGGACTTTGTCCGAAATTACAGTCACCTTGGGATGGCCCGTACACAGTCCTAAACAGGCTGAATGACGTCGTGGTTCGGATTCGTAAGTCTTCGAACTCTAAACCTAAAGTCGTTCATTACGACAGGTTAGCTCATTACTATGGCCATAGTACGTAATGTAAATAATTGTAAATAGTATAAGACCATGGTCCTTTTTGTTTTTAAATGTATATTTGATTTGATTTGTATTTAGTATTTGATTTGCATTTAGTATTTGATAGCATTTGATTTGTTTTATTTATTGCATTTATTGTTCATGTTGTTTATTATTGTAATGTAATGCTTATTAATGCATTTATATGCCACAGTTGTAAGTTTAGCTTCCTGTCCAGGGATTGTACTGCCCGGGACGTGCAGTCCTTGGGAAGGGGGCAGTGTTACGAATTTGGTATTTAAAAAGCTAATGTTAGTTCAATTATAAATTAAATGGTTTTATTTCTCGCGCAGTGCAGCGCGTGACGAATATTAAAAGAAAGCTAAGCCGGAAAATTGAAAATACAAGAGCGCGTGCATTAAATAAATAAATATCTCTTTTGATTTCGAGAAAGTACTGGAAAATTCTAGCGCGTGATTTTAAAATCTTATAAAAGGAGGAAAACATCTCAGTTTGTAGTAGTTGCTTAGTTTGTTGTTGTTTAGAAAACTACTCTTGTTGATTGTAGCGAATTCGCGGATTAGCGTTCTTTAGCTGTTTTGAATTACGTTCTACTGGACATTTGAGTAGTTAAAAGATAACTACTGTGAGATATTGTAATACTGAATGATAATTTGAGAAAATTTAAGCATTTTTGTTGTGATAATAATAAATTTTTGTTCATTTTTCATCGGACTTGTGCATTCATTTCGTAACGAACCCGTACGCACGCAACAATATGATATCTATAATAAAACAAATTCCAAATTAGTGCTTCCAGATGCCCATATTCGGTGGAGGACTACGTTATTCAAAATTTGATGTCTCTAGGTAGCGTTGTTTTTTCACAATGCGAGAAAGATACATACATTCATGCAGATTCTACATTATTTAATTTCTTTACATTTAAATAACACCAGCGCTCTCGGGAAGAAACTTCAAATATAGGTAAAAACATATTTTAAATGCTAAATGCTTATTGTATCCTGATGACCAAGGACCAATAGTGGAGGATGCAAAATGCCGAAACGAAATTAATAGGCCTTCTGAGCAAATTGACCCTTTGGGCTAAAAATAAAATAAAATTAAATTTAAAATTTAAAAAACTGAAAGATTTCAGATTTTAATTTACATCCATAGGGGCGTTTTCTTAACATTTTGTCTGTTACCTTTATTTATAAAATATCACGTTCTTCTCACTTAAACTATAAAATTTAGTTTAAGAGGAATATCGTAAAATAGTTTTAAATTGAGCATATCTTTAGAATTTCCGATACAAATTCTCGCACGATGGAGTATTTTTTTTTTTTTTTTTTTTTTTTGTGAGTGTGTGTGCGTGTGTACAACGTTGCCATTGCTCACTCCGAAATCCTTGAGTTTGTTAATCAGAAATTCGTTAAAGTTTTTACAAAATATGAAATTGATAATAAAACAAATTACAAATTTGGGCTTCCACATGCCCGTATTCGCAATAGGATTACATCATTCAAAATTCGATGACTCTATGTAACGTTGTTTTGTCACAATGCGAGAAATATACATACATTTATGCAGATTTTTCATCATTTAATTTCTTCAAATATAATGCAGGACTCATTTGGTAACATTTGGTGGCAACAGTTTGAAAAGTGAAACGGACATTTATAGTGAACCAACGCAAAATCGCTTTGGACTAATAAAAATGGAGGGAACGGTAACGGAGACAAAGCTTGTATAAAAAGCATTTCCCGCTTGATTAAATTGCGCGATGAGAATCGCAGAGCTATTACACATGTTTTTAACGAGATTAGTAAGATCTTCGAAAACAGATTCTTATTCAATATATTATCTTATTTAATATACAAACTCAATTAACAAGTCTTCGACCAGATATCAATTGACCAGAATACAGTTTGTTTTCAACATACCCGTGCTTTATGAGGAGTGTGTTGACCGTTAGGTAATTATGTGGATTTGAGCCAAAGAAAATTAAAAGAAAAGCCTTTAAATTCTACCCAGATATTCTTTGGGCATTATGGAACTAAATAAAGTGAAAAAACTGAAAGTTTTTGAAGTACGCACAATATATAAAGAACAAATTAATTCATTTTATTAAGAATTTTTTACTAAGGGTTAATTTTATTAAGATTTTGCTCATAAATTTCTTGGCATTAAAAATTACGTTAACACGAGAAAAAGATTTTTTTTAATTACAAAAAAGAGTTAATGCTATCGGGTTTTGATTAAGTTATATAGCAGAGTAGGAAATTTTAATGATTGTTTGGTAATATATATTTCTTGTTTACTGTTTCCAGCTTTCAGATTTTTTATTTACACATGAATATATGCCACTCAACCGGGATAGTGTTTAGTGACTCTGACTGCTGTACTGAGAGGCCGGGGTTCGAATCCCAAAGGCATGGATATTGTCAATGTATAGTGTCTGTGCGGCATGTAGGGCACTCTAAATATGCAGCAAGCAGCTAAAAGCCCTCTCGAGAGGTTATAGCAGGGAGAGAGAGTGGGAGACCCTCTGATTTGTCCCCCCCCGGGGGTTCTGCAAAGAAATTTGGTAAAAGTCGTACTGTCACCTGTATGCAGCTCAAGGATCTTGCCAACGTAGGCATAGTCTGGCACTCCTTTCCAGGATGAATTTCGTGGGCTTGTTCTGATGTTGCTGTCAGACAACTGAGATAAGTCACAACAACATATGAATAATCCAATATTTTGTTTCATTAAAAAAATTTACTGAAGTAATTTCTAATTAATTATATTACACGGACGGAAGAAATATTCAATAATTTTAGCATTTAACTTAATTTTATAAAGTTTGCTTTATTATATTTAAAAATTTGTAAAAGTGTTTAAAACATTTTTGCTGAAAAGTATCCTGGTATACGTTCTTTTCCTCGTAACCTTATTTACTGGCAATATATGAAGTTATATTCTTCTAAATTTTCAAGTTAAAAAAACATCTATAGTCTTACCTTTCCACATTTCATGTTGTGACAATAATATTAAGTTTTTCTCCCAGTTCTGTCTTTTAATTGATTCGAGTCACGTGTATTCTCTCAAAATGAAAAGGTATGCAAATTAATGTATATGAAAGAGAATTTAAAGTCTAGCAAAGGCTTACTGCAACTGGTGCCTTGTAGGATAAGAATCCGCCTTACTAACAGGCAATGTTGATTTGTTTGGAAAGAATTAGTATTTGTCGGAGGCCGGATTGATTTACATTGCTGTTCGAAGATGGTAATTGCCTCTTAATAACAATTAGCTGAGGATAAAATCAGATATCTTCTTTGGGAGGCTTTGATCGCGATAATAGTAACTTTCAAGGCAAGTCACTTAAAGTGTAAAAATTTAATGTTAAAAAGTGATCATCCCATTAGTTTGTAAATTCTCGCTTTAATTGCAATAATCAGAATTGGACAAGTAAAATGTATGGAATTCTAAATCTGCACTTCTTTAAGTTGATCATAGCCAGGGCGATAACTAGCCAACAAATCAGAGAATGGCCTTTAGTGAAGTGCTGTGAATTAAAAATAATTAAGCATTAAAATTGCAATGTTAACCTATCATAGAATGAGTAAATAAGATTGATTCTTGCAGTTGTTACCAATTTTGCTCAAGAAGATATTTAATTAGGCAGAATGATTAAAGATTTTTACTCTCATTTATTTTTAAGAATATATATTACCTGTTGCATGTAGCCAAGAATTTTTATAAATATGTACGCAATTGGTGTAATTAATAAAAATCTTTTGAATAACGTCCTACACTATGTTCTTCGTAACAGAATAATTATTTGCAAGCCGTCTAACAGCAAGTTTGCTGTATTTTATTTTATTCATTTCCCAAATTAATACCTTGCAAAAGTTTAGTTTTATGAAAGTTCAGGGAACAAAACAACAAAACAGATTTTTTTAGCAAATGGTTCATTTTCAGGATAAAATGTAATAACAAGTTCGAATGTACTTATTACACTTAGTATTCAACGTGTTCAAAATTTTCTAGTCACTGACTCATGATAACATTGTTATTCTTGTATGATATTAGGGTGAATGCGACTGAACACTGAGGTTTAGCATGCGAATATTTTAAGTAATTGAGGTTTAAAGAGTTAATTTGGATGAAGAGAACAATACTACTTACGACTGCTTTCATTAGATATCTTACACTGACGCATTGTAGAATTCAGATCTTTGCCCTTTATTCATAACAGAACAATGTCTACAACTAATAATTTTCCCCGAATTACTTTAAAAATTCGAGAGTTATTATCAGTATGTCACTGGCCTTGAAAAACGAAAATCACATTTACTCATGCAATGTTCCCCTCCTATATAATAGACTATGCGTCAAAAAGTTATTTTTCAGGTGCGTAGTCTTCTGTGAATTATCATTCTTTAAGTTGCAAGAGATTGTAAAGTGATTTAGCACTCTTCTTACTACCATAAATTTAAGGTAAGTAATTTTCAGTATGATGCAATCTTTTTTTTAACCTATGTTTGAACTGCTAGAAATGCTACTTGCAATTTTTAAAGTAAAATAAAAGAATTTAACTTTTATTAAATCATTTTGCAAATCGATAAAATCTTACGTTTTCCAAATAACAAACAACAGACTGGAATGGCAACAAATTTGAATGAAACCGGAGACAACGCAAAATCACATTTCGAGACTAATATAGCCCTTTCGAGGTAAAAATTTCATTTAAACATGGCTGAAATTTACAACAGAACCTCCATTATTTGCGTTTTGATAGCTAAGTTTTTAAGTCGAACTCAATGACATGTAAAATTTATTAAAATATATAACGTTGATTTTTCTCAGTATGTCGAACTCAGAATATTCTATACGTCAATAAACCCTAATGCTACTAAACTTTTTTTTTTAAACCTAAGGAAAGCGTTTGCGAAAAGCATTTAGTTAAACAGTTACTTTTCTCAGACCGCACTTCATACAAAAAGAACACAAAACTCATAATAAATACTGATTACAGAAGTTATCGTATATATTGCTGGCCCATATATATCATATATTTCATATCTATTGCTGGCCACTGCTAGAAGAGAAGCCAAAAAACAAACATAGTATAAACAGCATTTTATAGGAATCATCCAAGACCAGTATAGGAATCATCGATATATGACTTTACTCCCCTTTTTCACACTGTGTATAATCTTATTGCATTCGTTGCTTCCTTAAAATTTCATACATTCGGATATAGAAATCTCTATGACCATTCATACTGAAACTGTTGCTTCATCTTGTATGGTTTAGATAGGTTAAACTAATTACGGCAAAGCACACTAGGGCTATCTGCTTAATGGAAGTGATGCATTTGTGGAAGACTTTTTAAGGAAAACTGGCTCATACACACATCATACATGAGGAAAGCACGAAAACATGTATGCAGCCAGCCCGTTCGCGTGGAATCGAACTGAAGTTGGAACTACTAGTGTTCAGCGATTTTACCGCTTAGCCGCTGGTGAGTTTATCTTACATGAATATCACAAAAGTCAATGCTTGCCTTCTTCCAGGCTAGGATTGATATTTCTCCGAAAGAGATCTAATATATACTGATCGTAACAGATCTAATATTACTGTAATAAATCAAACAGTAATAATCTAATAATAGTGTCAATCTCTAAATTCTTTAATAATAAAAATTTCTTATTTAAGCAATTCACTACATTTTGGTTTTTACTTTTGGTCTTGAATAATACTTATATATTTGATCTCGAATAATAACCCATGCCTGTATGAATGACAAAAGACGAATTGAGTAATTGAAGAGTTAGGTTTGGAGGGAACTTCCCCTTGAAAAGAACTGTCTCCTGCCTGCTCAACAATTATTCACTTTATGCAAATTAATTTAGTCTTAAAAATTCTTTAAATTTTTAGGATTAATTTTTGGATTATTAAATATTTTTTCATGATTTTAGATCCTTTCACTTAATTTACATATGCTCTCTAAATTTAAATGATACTGCAAATTAGTTCGCAGCAATAATTAATCTTTTATTTTTATACAGTTAAGTTTTCATAATTTAAAAATTAGATTTTAATTAGAGTTAAATTAGCTTTGACGATGAGAGAATATTTGTGAAATTCAAATATGTGTACATATATATATATATATGAATTTAAAAATATTCTGTATTCGTATAAAGCAATATAAAATTCTCTCTCTCTCTATATATATATACACATATTTGAATATATATAAAATTACAAAACTATTTTTTTAATATAATATAATCATGCCTAGCATTTTCGCACATTAAGCTGCTGAAAAATTATCAGAACGACTTAAAGTAAGAAATTTAGAACCAATTTTTTACAAAGACCAAAACCGAGATTAAATTCATTAACCGAGAATAAAGTAATAAATTTTCAAATAATCCTATAAATGCAAAAAGGAATTTAATAAATGTTAAAACCAAACACTTCAAACAAGCAATGCCCCAATTCAAAATATCAATGAAATTTAAAGAAAAAAACCTAAATAGAAGAGGAATTCAATCATCAACATCATTCAATCAACATCAATGCCACTTCGTCAGGAGGAGGAACTTTGGAATCAATTGAAATATCTCTTTCCCGAAAAGACCTTGCTTTTCTGTATCCAGGATTAGCTGAAAAACCATTTCAATGCATTTTAATTAAAAAAAGTTTCCGAAAATTCTGGCCCCTTCCCGAAGCAAGAAAGAAACAAAGTAAATTCTAATTTTTTCTTTTTTTTAACGTTGAAATAAAAAGAAGTCTATTCAAAGAATTGAAAACGTAAGTGAAGTAATAAAATACTTTAGTGAAAAATTCAAATCAAAATTTTACCTTGAAGCAAAGAAAACATTATCCAAAGAATTGAAAATGTAAGTGAAATTATAGGACTGTAGTGAAAAGACTTAATCTAAACGGAATTGAAATAAAAACACACAAGAAATAATTAAAAAATGTTTTAAATTTCCTTTTAATTAGTAAAGTCATGTTTTTTTCTTTTTCAAAATATCTATTTTAAATTTAAAATAATTAACTTTTTCTTTTGGTTTCAAAATTCAATATTTTGTTGCAATTTTTCGACTTTTAAGGGATTACTTTCATGCCACTGAATTTTAGTTTCGCCAATAACGCCAAACTGGCAAACCTAAATTGTCATTACTGTAACAATCTTTTTCATAGTTTCGGTTGTGTTCTAGTTGAAAATACTCTAAGTTTTTAATTATTTCTTTTGAGTTTTTATTTCAATTTCGTTTAGGTTAAGTCTTTTCCCTAAAGTTTCACAATTTCACTTACGTTTTCAATTCTTTGGATGATGTTCTCTTTGTTTTAAGGTAAAATTTTGATTTGAATTTTCACTTACATTTTCAATTCTTTGAATAGAGTTCGCTTTATTTAAAGGTAAAAAAAATTGATTAGAATTTACTTTGTTTTTTCCTTGCTTTAAGGAGAGCCCAGAATTTTAAGGTGAACTAGTATTATAATTAAAATACAGTGAAATGATTCATCCGCTAATTCTAGACACTGAAAAGCAAGGTTTTTTGTGGAAGAGAGATTTCAATTGATTTCAAAGTTCCTTCTCCTGACGAAGTGGCATTGAGATTGATTGAGTTCCTCTTCTATTATGTTCTTTTTTCTTTAAATTTCATTGATATTTTGAATTAGAGTTTTGCTTGTTTTAAGTGCTTTGGTTTTAACATTTATTCAATTCTTTTTTGCATTATAGGATTATTTGAAATTTATTACTTAAGAATTTCAGTTTTTGGTCTTTGTGAAAAATTGGTTCTAAATTTCTTACTTTATGTCTACATATATATGTGTGTGTGTCTGTATATATGTACTTATGATGATGCAGTGCTTGCTATGAGGAGTCTGCATGGAATGCAGCTTACAAGAGATTTTGTAACTCGAAGCTAGAGACTTAATGTGCGTTTTATGCGTACAAAAGACTTGAAGGGGGTAGGTAGAGGAACTGGTTGAAAATTCTTTGATCTTTTTTTACACTTTATTTTAGTGGATTCATTTTTACTTTTGTAACAAAAATTTTTAGTGGCCTCATAATATTTTTTTAAATGTTACTAAAATAATATATTAATTTGTTTTTCATTTATTTCATGAATTTATAATCATCCAGATATAATACAGAAGTATGGTTCTTTCGACACTTTTTTGGCTACTTTTCGAAAAAGACTAAAGAAGTTTCAATTGCTTATTATAATATTTTTTTGTTTCAGTTTTGATATTTTATTTTTATTGTTAGACTGTTAAACACCAATTTTAATTTTTAATTAATTTCGCAACGTACTGCGCGACTTTAATAATTTATTATAATCTTAATTTTGAAATTTCAAAACTCTTATATATATAAAACTATCCTAATATTCTTTAATAATATATAATTCGGATTGAAAGGTAATGATCTTATATATTAATTGTTGCTGATTAAAAAAAAAACTTGCTAAGCTACTGATAAAATTTTACCTTTAACATTAATACTAAGACATTAAAGGTATAAAAATAAAATGAAATGCATAATAATGAAAGCATATAACAAAAATGAATAAAATGAAAATCTCACCTTATCATAAACTCATTTTATTCACAGAATATACATTTAAATGAATATTTTAATATAATTTAAAACCCAATAACTACTTTCCATACTTTTTTCTAACTCTATTTTCATTGAAATTTATAATAATTCTTAATACAAATGTAAATTTTATCCGTTCGTAAGATTTTACTGATTATAGCAATAATATTAAGAGAATGAACTTTGAAAATGAAATGTTAAGAAGAATAGATAGATGTCAAAAGGATAGCCCAGTAAATTTCCTTGCAAATAATTCTAAACATCGATTTTTAAATTTTATTGATATGTAGGGTGTCCGTAATTAAAACTCCCCTATTCAGAAGTGTCTGCAATCGTAACCAGTCTTCAGAAGTTGTCGCATGGCACGGTGCTATCACTCACGATATGTTAAGAATATTCTCAAAAGGTATTTTATCTAAGAAAAGAAAGGGTCATCAACCACCGCTCTGCTCTTCCCGATTTCCAAATGCGATTCTGGGATTTCTGGAACTTTGAAATATTATCTAGTCAGCCATGAAATCTAAGCAAATTTCTCGACCTAAAGACACCATTTCGTAACACATAAGTAATATACAAGTATCTAGGCAGAAGCTTCGCTCGACTATGGAACAATCGATCTTGCGAACATTAGAACACTGGACGATATTTCGGATTTCAGATGGCAAAGATGATCAACATGTAGAGCATAAGTTCTTATACGTCAAAATTGTACAGATAAAAAATAGAGTCAAATATGTAATTTATTAATAAAAGGCCTTCTACTGCCGTTATTTGGCACAAATTTGTTTTTTTATTAAATGCCTTTTTTATATCTGTATTACGTCATACACAAAGCTTGACACTTTTCTAATGAACAGTTAAGGCTGTAGGCAGCTCTAAATAGGGAAACTTAAATTATGGATATGTATATATACACTAAATAACAAATAAATGACATAGCAAGGAAAAAATATGATACAATAGTAGCGAAAACAAAAAGAAAATATTATATACATATAATCATAAAATCAAGAAATTCTCCAGCAAAATATCTTTGAATCATTCCACTCCTATCACACTACTGCATATGAAGTCACGAAACCACGAAATTTTTATGCGATATATTGAGGAAAGGTATGTAGAAAATCGCTTAGGACATATAATCATAAAACTAAGAAACTCCCAGCAAAATATTTTTGAATCATTCCACCGTTCAGATAAGGGCGCGAAATTTTTGTACAATATTATTGTTCGATATTTGTATTATATTAGGGGGGATATAGAAAACTGTCTAATTAATATTTGATTGATCAATTGTGCTTTAATTGAGAGTGAAAAGTTTGCTTTATAATTAGAGAAAATTAATTAATTTTATGGTGATGTGCTTTTGGATGTTCAAATTTTAAAATGACGAGCATGCAGTGATCGAAAAAAATCGAAAACGCTTTTGGAAACAAGGGCAAAACTCAGTAAATGAAGTTAGGAAATTCCGAATAATCTTCATTTAAAAGATTCCTCCCCCCTTTATATCCGATAATGGAGATGGTAATAATCTAGGACTATTTTTTCATTAAATGAAGATATGTGAGAAAAATGCTTAAAAAATCGCTCAATATTAGATTTATTACCTATCTATTTATATATATGTGTGTGTATGCGCGTATGCCGAATTTTGGTAGGGGGAAGAAAATCTGCTTCGTGGTGTATATTTTTATTGTTGGACAATATCTGAGCCAAATTCCATAGATTCGTTTTTGCACTGTGCAGTATATAACATATACCTGGGAATAAAGTCTGTTTTACTATTCTAAAATGTAACTCCAAATTTTACATTTCATTTCCTTTTTAGCAGCCTAAACGATGCAAGCGATCGTACAGATTTCTGTGTTGGCGGTGACACTATGGTTGATGTAAGTTGGCTTGTATTATTTTTTTTTTTAATTATTCAATTTTTAAACAAATGCAAAATAAATTGTTTACATTCCCAGCTTCTACTGTTTTCAGTATTCTATTTTATGAACGGAAAAGGATTTATAACAATTTATAGGAGTTTTTCTTAAACCTGTGGTTGTTTCTCTCTTTCTTCTTAGTTATTATCACTGATTTCTCTTTTGATGCAGAATGAAAAAAAAAAAAAAATTGCAGTTTAATATTTTATATTCCCGCTTTTAACATATGAAGGCGTTAGTTTATCAGAATATCGAAACTGATTTTCTCTTTTGATTCTAAAGAGAAATATTTATTCCTACATATGTATTACACGTAAATTAAATAGTAACCGTAAACACTGAAAATTATAAGAAACGAATGTTGCTGAAGCACAACCAGCATGAAAATCAGGTAAATTTTTCATTTCCTTTTTATTTTGTGTACGAAATTAAGGAAATATGGTAATCTAGAAAATTTTCGAATATCATGTTTGAATGAAAATATGCATTTTGATCGCTTTGCAATCTATTTCAACGATGTCTCTGCGTCCTATCTGTACGTACAGATAGAATAAAGAATTTTTTTTTTTTTTTCCAAAACGGGTTGTAAAGTGGATTCAAAAGAGATTTTCCTCGTGACCTCTGTACGTACGTATGAATGTGCCTCTCATAACTCGAAAACGAGAGACTGTAAAACATTGCAATTTCGTATATGGAACTGCTGTAACACGTAGTTGGTCAGTTCCCTTTTTGGTTGCAACCGGCTACACCAAACTTATATATATATATATTTAACAAACATTCTCTGTTTGTAAAAAGCAAATAAAAGTTAATGAAATTTAATTGCAAACAAATAAATGATTGATTATTGCTTCGAACCAATCTACAATATATGCAATGGCTTCCAAAAACGTGTTCGTACACTTATGATTTTCATTGAAATAGGGCTCTATCCATTCATTAAAAGTAAACTTTCTGAATCAGATTTTAATGATAAGATCTATAATCTATTCGTAACAAAATTTTCTGAATGAGGTTTTAATAATAAAATCTATAATATATTCGTATCGTGAAATATTTTTTAAATATAGCGAAACTTTATTTTTAAGAAATTAATAATCAAGAAATGACAAACATTTTATCTCACAAAAGTCTTCTTACACTTCAACAAAAAAATCTTGACATATTAGTAAACATTTTAATTTTTCGTTAAATTAATATTAGTAGGATAATATCCTTTAGCATCCACAACAGCTTTTAAACGTCTGGAAATAGATTTTATTTTTTTTTTTTTTGTAATTTCTGTATCAATGTTCATCCATTCTTGCATCATGGCTGTTTTGAGATTGCTTTTCGTTTTGATGTCGTGTTTTCGTACTCTAACCTCCAGCTCTTTCCAAATGTGTTTTATGGGGTTTAAATCTGGCGACTGAGTGGTGTTTTCAAAAACCTATGGACAATTATAGAGACACTACGCGAGAGTTGAGAGCCGTATACTTAGATCGTTATCATGATTAAAATTAAGTTGTTTCAATACCCAAATTTGGGCTGATAATTTTAAATTGTCTCTTAAAATATTTAAATAAGAGAATGATTCATTTGCCATCATAAATACCAAATTACCTAGTCCTGATGCTGTCATGCCCCCCCCCACCACACACAAGAACACCTCCGCCGCCATTCTTAACTGTTCCAACTAAGTTCTCAGTATGAAGTTTCTCATTTTTTTCTTCTCCATACAGTTATTCGACCATCGGAACCCAAAATATTAAACTTGCTTTCATCAGCAAATAGGACATTATTCCAGTATGTTTCGGGTGTATTTATAATTAATTTTGCGAATGAAAGCCTAAGCTTTCTGTTTTTCTCCCTAACAAAAATTTTTTTACGGGCCCTTGTAATCCAGCTCCTCTGAGAACTCGTCGAACAGTTAACTTTCTCGATCGACCTTTTCTTAACTTGTTTCCAATCCGATTTTCTTCTTTAAAGCGTTTTATCACATACTGCACTGTAGAATGGGATAATTAACTAATTTAGCGATATTTCGAATGATTTAACATACTATGGTGAAAATTATCAATTTCGAATGCGTTTGTAATTTCTTTACGACTGCAACCCTTTTTCAATAATAAAAATATTATGAAGTAACAATAAAAAATTAAGCAAAGATTTTTCAATGCACCAAAGCAAATTAAAAAAGCGCAACGATAATTCAATTTTGATTTATCCAAAAATTTTCAGTGTACGAAGACTTTGTGAGATAAATGTTTATCATTTTTGATTATTAATTTCTTAAAAATAGTTCGCTAATTTAAATATATTCTGTATTTTGTTGAATAGATTATAGATCTTATATTAAAATCCAGCAGAAGTTCTTGTTAAGGATAGAGCTCTTTAACGAAATCATACGTGTACGAACACTTTGGAGTCATGTATACATACGGAGTCCCGCGCTGCGCAATATATTTCTTGTTCACGACTTTCAATAGCGCCAGTTTGGTTGCTCTATGTGGTTTTCAGTTTGCTGTGCACATTCAAATGTTTAAGACAATTAGTTCTCCCCCGGACTGTGGATCGTGCCGTGATTAATTTTTGAACGCGAGGAATTTTAAACCGCCGAAATTTATCGTCAAGTGACAGAAATTTACGGTGATACGCATAATTGATGGATGTGAGAAAGTGGTAAGAATGTTTAATCAGGTCGAACAATGTCCACGCCGGGCTCGGAGTGGTGCCTTCTGCGTCAAGATGATTGGGTAGGAAATTGATGACAATTCAGAAAACAAGCTGTACAATGACAACTCTTTCAGAGGCCATTTCCACAATTTCACGTAACGTTGGTTTGAAATTGGTCTGACGCTTGAATTATCCAAACTGTGCAGGGTCCAAAATGCTCACGATTGCAAAAAAACGACTTGGTAGTGCCCGTATTTCACGCGCCGGATGAGGAGAAAACTTTTTAAACCAAATTGTGAGTGAGAAACTGGGTGTGTTCACACAGATGAAACAACAATCGATGGAGTGGAGACACACTCTCTCCGAAAAAACAGTTCAAAGGGACAAGTTATCACAAAAAATCATTGCAATTTCTGGGATAGGAAAGGCGTTTGCTTACTGAATTTTCCAGAGGTGGAAACATAGGCGGCACGATGTAATTAAACTAGGGTGCATTCAAAACAAACGAAGGAATACTAGTAAAGGACTTGTGGTGTTCCATGACAATGCTCGGCCCATACTGTGGTGCACTCATCGTTTATTCGACAGTTTCATGAGAGTTCGAACCGCCGTACAGCCCGGACTTGGCGCCGTCCGACTACATTTTTTTCCTGCAATGAAGCGAGCTGATGGCCAACGCTTTGGATCTGACGATGACAGAAAAATGCTGGGGTCGTGGTTATCGAAACTGGAGGAAGTTTCTTTGACGATTAAAAAAACTGGTCACCCACTTGAAAGTTGATCATTGGCGAACTATGTTGAAAAAGTTTAAGACATTATTCTGTAAAATCAAATGAATTCGAAAATTGTTTAACTGTTTTTTTTTTTTTTTTTTTTTTTTTTTCAAACGGTACTTAGTTTTCGAATACGCCTCGTATATACCCATTCTATTACCCGGCTAAGTGAACTCAGTTTTTCTATTCTTATATGTCAGTAAAATGTGCATTTTTCCATTTGAAAGTGATTGAATTATATTGTTATGTTTCGGTTAAGGTGTTTATGCCTTTAGTGATCTGCATGCAATAGTTGTAGATTTGTTAATAATTTAAAAGTGGCGGGTTAAACATAAGGATGCCGCCATTTGTTTACATTTGCAACTCTTAATAGAACAGGGAATTAAATTAGTTGGTGAACCAACTGCAGTGTCTTTTTGCCCAATGTTGCCGGAAGTTGATTTTCGATTTTGTGCACCAAAAA